AAACAAAACAAGAGGACGAAAATCTAACAATAATGATTCTAAAAAAACAATATGCTATTCAGTTATCCTAAACAGTCAAATTGTAACCGTTCAGGAAACATACAATTAATTGTATTATCGATAACGAAAACATTAGAATTGTTTGCAACAATTTGATATTCTAAAATCGTTTCACAAACAACGTTCAGTACAGATTAAAAACCTAAAGAAACAATGCTAAAACGAAAAAAAAGATGAAATGAATGACTAAAAATATCCATTAGAATAACACAATCAATGCACAGAGTTCACATAAATTGCAGGATGAATTGATTGAAAAAAAGAAGTAAATGAAAGTTTATAGAATATTTTAACCACTTTAAAAGTACAATGCTGAAATATTCATAATAATTATTGAAAGCTTGCAGTAGCAAACAACAACTGAATGGAAGAAGTGGGTAAGTAGAGAGCAATGATAGAGGTATATCAGTTTTATGGATTTGTTTTCATCGATTCTCATCAATCTACCATTTTGAGTTCTTTTTGGATATATCGTATTTGATGGAGATTTCGATGAGATTCTCACGCCTTATTCCGTACATAGAGACACGAACGATCTTCACGGAGGGATTAATTTTCAAAACGACAAAATTACAAAATCACTCTAAAAGAACGAAACAGTCAACTGTTTGCGATAAGCTGACAGAACGAAATACAACTTGTAAGATGGATCTGACAGATCAAACTTCAACGATAAACACTTTCGACAAAACCTAGCAAATGAATAAGTAAACAATCGAGAACGAAGTAAAGAGGAGTGAGTGTCTTACGTCAAGAACATTTGGGTAATTGAATTCATTCTTTTCAAAGACAGTGCTGATGAGCAACGAATAAAATAACGCAATGTGCAAATGTGTGGACAATCAAGTCACTCAGAATTGGATAGTTACTTAAAAACTGCAATTACAATTCGGTGACTGTGATGTAATGCCGAAGCAAAGTCAGAATGGAATGCCGAGAAGCGAATCTCATACTCAACAAAAACTTATGTTCATTGCTTTATCATAACGGCTGCCCAATCAATGAATGTCGCCGATCACGTCTCAAAAAAAAAAAATTCAAAAGATTTTCGACAGACAACTCAACTCAGTGATGATACTGCAGCAGTGGATGATGGTAGTTTTGAATGCAAAGTCAAAGAGACGACTCTGTTAAATGGACACAAATGAATGTATTTATTTTATACGTGTTAATTATTTATTCATTCATCTCATTGTCAGCATTTACTTATGCGATATGAAACGTCAAACCGGACAATACAAAATGAACGTTAATCTTACGAAAATCTCTCTTAGCACATACTCACATATGGACATATACGTACAAATCATTTGACAATCACGAATTTTCATTTCAAATTTGCTTGAGAATTCATTATTTCACTTTGCATTTCGATCAATCGTTTCGAAGTATCGCTTCAACGTTCACGTCAACTACCTTTGCATGATCGAATACTTCATTTGAGAGCGCTTCGAGATGTGAACCAAAAGCGCGTCTAACGAACATCTTTAGCAGCAAGGAGTTGCAGTATCATACGGAGATTTCATGGCGAATTTTAGCGCGACGTTCGTAAGTAAGCAAATGAAACGATGTACACACGCAGATCAAAACAACGACAAACAAAATGAAACTGACTCATCGATCACATCGAAAACGAAAATAAAATTAATAATTTCAAATGATGCAAAACAACAGCACCATTGTTACTATCTCATCAATCATCAACAACAAATTTCAACAGTTCCATTCGTTCGAGTAAAACTTCACAAGCTACGACAAAATCTGTCAATATTGCATGGAATCAATCATTCATTGCCGTGAGATATTGCTTGTTGTTGTTGATGAACGTTTTAAAACCTTGGCACTACGACCAGCTATTGAATCAATAACAGCATTCATCACAAGTGTCACTTCAAACGCTCAGAATCCCTCATCCCATCCCGAGAACTCATCTGGTGGAATGTCCTGATCAGGCGGATAATTGTCGAAATTGCTAACGTCAGCAGGATTCGACACTTTCGGCAGTATTGGCGCTTTCAGTGTCTGTGACCTCAAGCCTTCCCAATCGAAACCCATGAACCACCTGCAAAAGAAATCGCTTAAGTTATCTGTTTTCATCGCAAGCATTCTTTTCCTTCTTTTCTTCATCACCATAACTCTTAAAATCTTGAATGGTAAGAACATATCACACTCGCATTGGATGGTACGAAGGCTGACTGATGATTACAATCATAAATTCGATTTTAATCCATACGATACTTCAACTTGCACCGAAAAACCTACCGGTGTTTGCGTATATCGCCAACTCCACCGCTTCCCGAACCGAGTCGTTCACCAGGATTATCTTTACATAATTTCTTAACTAAAGCAGTTGCAGTCTTGCCGATTCTTCGATTCGGAATTTCCAATGCATCAACACCTTTCAGAATGAGTGTGTAGGTTTTCATCGGATCGGATGCCTGAAGAATTGTGACATTGCAATTGATTTATTCGACATTTACACACAAAATAATTGATTTCTTCGATTGATTGTCAGCTGTTACACCGTAAATGCACCCAAACTGTGTTCAAATTCAGTTGAACGACAACATGAACGCAAGATAATCGAGTAAAGGAAAAGTTCGATATGCAATAACGACATTTCTGGGCACATATCAGATGTTTTCAATGGAATAACGTTAATAATTTGGTTTTTAGATGAAAGTAATGCTTTCAAAAACCAAGCAAAATAACCAATAGTAGTTTGTACCTGGAACGGCGGTCTACCGAGCATCAATTCGCATATGTAGATGCCGAGCGCCCAGTAATCGGCCGCTTGATCGTGACCTTTATTGAGGATGATTTCCGGTGAAACGTACTCTGGTGTACCACAGAACGTCCACGTTTTACGACCACTTGCCAGTTTCTTCGCGAAACCGAAATCCACCTGAATTCACGACAGTTTCTACGCATATGGTGAATGAAGGTTATTAACGTGATATTTTTGGTGGAAAGCGGAATGGCTGTGTTTTA